TCTCTCTCTCTCTCTCTCTCTCTCTCTCTCTCTCTCTCTCTCTCTCTCTCTCTCTCTCTCTCTCTCTCTCTCTCTCTCTCTCTCTCTCTCTCTCTCTCTCTCTCTCTCTCTCTCTCTCTCTCTCATCCTCGCCTCCTCCCCTCCCTCTCCCCCCTGCCCGCCCCACGTTGTTTCCCTCCTTTCCTCCTACGTTCGTATACCGCTCGTAAAGTACGCGGAACGTTGAATATACAACAGTTCGCGGTAATCGTAAAAAATTTCACCGGCGGCGCAAAGCGCAGAACTAATTTGAAACTTTAAGTTTTTCGCGCGAAGCTCGCGATCGCGCGATTACGCGTCTCGGATGTTATTATGCAATTTCGGATTGCGTGACGAGCAGCGACGAACGTGCCGTATCGATTTGATCGTCCTCCGAGATACCGTCGTCGTCGTCGTCGTCGTCTTCGGGGAGAACTCGATTGGCCTCCATCGCGGCTCGCGATATTCGCGATAGTCGCGATTTTCCGTGATCCACTTTCCTCCTTCCGCCGCGTTCCAAGATTAGGAACGGACTATTCCCGCGATCGGATAAATAAACGCACCTTCGGAAAGTGCGGCGAGAAATATTGTTCCGCGTGCGCTCGTCGTAAGCGAATTTTTCTAGCCGAAAGCAGAAGCGAAAATAAACTCTTTTAAAACCGAAGATACGAAACGATCCTACGTTCTCTATCTTTAATTAAATAATGAAATATTACGAGATATGGAAAAGGAGATATTTTTAAGTGCAAATAAATGCTTTCGGTTTTCTCAAACGGAGGAGGTGAAATCTCGTAATATCTTTCGTTATTACCGGAATAAACGATCGAGCTGATGACAACGATGACGTGCAATTTGTACTTCGTGCTCTGCTCGTATCTTTTCACAGATTCTATATAGCTCCTTGCTTGCACAGGAGCGAAAGTTTGATCTTCAAACAAAAAAAATGCCCCGATAAAAAAATATGTACGTCAAAGCGGAAAGCAAATGTTTGCCTCTGTCCCATTTTATTCGTGATCTCGTGTCACTCCTCGTATTTTACGTGGGGGGAGGGGGTGAATTTTCGTCGGATGAAGAAAAGCAAAAGCGTTTGCTCCATTTCGCCTGTATGAGCCGACATGTCGGCGGAGGATCGACTTCGGGAGAATCATCGTGGGAACGAGATACTTCCGGAACTGATTCCACGAACCGAACGGTAACGACGACTTCCGCTCGCCTACCAAAGCGCAGAAAGGTGCTTGAAGCACGACGATAGAAGAGACCAGGAGGGAAGGGGGGAAGGAGAAGCGGGACGGAGGAAAAGGAAGAGGGAGGGGAGGAGGGATGAAGATGAGACGTCGGTTTGTATGAAGAAGAAAAGGCGGCACCGGTACCGTTTCTCACAGGGAAAGAAGAAGAAGAAGAAGCCTACGAAACATCCGTCTTAATTAACGATCGCAGTCTTTACACACATTTCCACGAGAATAATGTAACGGCGATGAGATAATTGAAATTTAATCCGTTCAGTACCGCTTTAGTCCTTCATTAAACCTTTCCGCGTATCCGACGCGCGTGTCACATACGGAATTTTTATTTTTTAATTCTCAAATTTAAATTTTTGCTACTATACATTTTATGAAATAAAATTTTTAATTTCCATTTCTGCCCTCTGTCTGACAGTGGTTGTACCACCGCTATATTTATACTTGCATTAAAACTTTGTTCAAATATTTGAAGAGACGCGCTCTGTATTCGTGTTAATTCTTCCGTCAGCTCTTTTCAAGTCTATGACACGGACACTATCCAACGAAATTTGACCTTTCTTTTGTAACGTGAATGCGAATGGTCATTTCCGACGTATTTTTGTCTGCTTTCGAAATATAATTATGAAGTGAATAGCCATAATTATATTTCGAAAACGAAAAATTACTTCGAAACGAATCATGCATTTAAAGTTAAAATCATGATAGCGTAATAGCCAAATTTGAACAACGAATTTGTGTTCATCAGAGAAAGACATCGGAAATAACTATTCGCATTCACGATTGCAAAATAGTATTTAGGATAGTGTAATTAACAATAATCGTCCGAGTAAAGAACTGTTTGCACGTGTGAGCGTTAGAACGAAGTATCCGAGCAAACGGAGCCGAACTCGTCCCTGTATCGATATCCTGGCCTGAAGGAGGAAGACGAAAAAGGAAGAAGAGTGGAAAGAGTGAAGGGAGAAGGGAAAGAGAGACGCGGAGGGGAAAAGGTAGCGAGCTTCTACGAAGGCCGGAAGCCGGCGGCGGACGAACGATCGCCGCCGGATGTTCATCTTCCTTTTTCGATCTAGGTCTCGCATACTAAGTCGAATTTGCGTCAAGGCGAAAACGCGCTTCTCAGTTTCGCGTAGTCTAGCGCGGATAAAGTAATATACAACTCAGGCTGATCATCAGATCGTTGAGCTTAGAATTAATTACATCGTTACTTAACAAGTTGTAACGAGTATTGTAACAGGTAAATAATGTAAAATTATAATTAGATTTTTAATTCTTGTGTGTTGCAAAAATGGAATTGAAAAAGTATAATGAATCGTCATTAAAAAAAAAAAAAATCTATTACGATATTTATTTTTCTCATGACATTACGATATTCGATTTTGAAAAAAAAAAACTCGATTTACGATTTAGTATAATAATTTTTGTCTAAATAGAAATAGGTTGGATAAAATGGTAATTAATATACTTACCTTGCTGACAAGGAAGTCTTTCGCCTCGAAGTGACGACCGAACATCTTGGGCGCTTCACCTGGCACAGGCTCGATTTTGATGCAGACCTCTTGGCCTTTCCTGGCCGATTCTACAGGTTTATGATTGTATTCTATGCTGGTTACCATCCCCAAGTCGACGAACTGAAACGACAGATTAACATAACGCTCGGTTAGAAAAAACAGCGACATATTTTGCAACGAGAAGGAATGTGACATTCGCAATGATCGAACGATAATAATAATCATTTATTAGGCGTTACATATATTCGACGGGACTTGACCCACGTATCTGATTAATTCATAGGAATATATTATACGCTTGAAAGACAAGACTCCGAGGGACTACGAAGAGTTTGTTTCGCTAACTAAAAAAGTCTCGTTCAACACAGAAATGTTTATTTTCAGATTTATGATCTCAGCGAAACGATCAAATTCGAAAAGATCGGGGATCTGCCTGACGTCTTAGTATCCTCCTCTCCCTCCCTCCCCTGTAGTAACGCGATACCGCCACGTATGTTCACGTGGTCGCTTGATTTAGCGCCGTGGCGGATGCTCGAACACGCGATTTAACGGCGAGACGGGTCTATCCCGCGGGGCAAAACTCCGGCATGGAGTAGCGCGACTTTCTGTAGGTCTTCCTTTTTTTTTCTCCTCTCTTTTCGCCATCGATCGTCGGCGTCTGGTCGCGTGGGTATAACTCCGCCTAGGCACACCTTTACCGCGACCGGAAGTCGAGACAGCCCAAGTATACCTGAGCGCGGCACCGTCGAACCAAGCCGAGCCGAGCCGAGCCGAGCCGCGCCGTGCCGTGCCGCGCCGTGCCGTGTCGTGCCGTATCGTGCCGTGCCGTGCCGTGTCGTGCCGTATCGTGCCGTGCCGTGCCGTGCCGTGCCGGGAGAGCCGAACCTGCCTCGCAACCCGAGTCCGAGACGTGGGTACGCATTTTCGTCGTGAATACCGGCGAGAATCGGTGAACCAAGTAGGTAGGCAGGCAGGCGGATACTCGCACATACGTAGGTCGGCACGCAGTAGGCTGGCTGGTCGTAGACAGATCCACCGGGTGTTCGAGAATATCTCGAACGACGAAAAACTGGAATAACGGCCGTCGGACCGGAGCAACTTCCGGCCGACATTTCAGCCTCGATTATTTCATAGTCGAGCGTCGAGCGAAATCGGCTAAGGAAGTATCTAAAGGAGGCGGCGCTCGTTTCTTTCTTTCTTTCCTTCACTCTCTGTCTCTCCTCGGAAATAATGACATTATCGGTCAGCGATAGTTCAAGTAACTTGAACTGTAACTTCCGTCACACAAATTAGATGCTGCTAATGCGAGTGTTCGTAAAACTATTTTGAAAAAAAAAAAATGCGTTCTCTGAAGAGATGGTTTTTAATGTCGATTCAGGAAATTGGTCTGAATGGAAGCTTTTCAAGCGAAAGAAAAATCCTTTGGATGCCTGCACACCGCAAGTTTATTGAATTTCGGAACACGCTGTATAACGGTGTATATGGGCGAAAAAGTCCCGAGCACGTTACCCCGTTGTGCCGCGACACACCTGCGGCCACGGGAGCGCAAAAGTGGGCGACAAACCCGGACGCGGTCGCGTCCAAGATTTGCAAGCGCTACTGGGCCGTGGGTTAAAAGAGACCCGTGACTTTTGCAACGTTATCGGGGGTGTACTCGAACCAACCTGAAACCACGTAGATTCCTGCTGCCTTACAATTACATTGGAAAAAAAAAATTAATCTTAAATCAAGACAAGTATTCTCAGTATATGAGCAAGAATATTATAATCTTAAAAATTTCAGTCTTGACTTTATTGAATTTTTATTGAATTTTTATCGCAAGTATTATTTTGGCTCAACTCGAGACTAAAAATCTTCTATGAAAATTATAATATTCTTACTTACGTATATAAATCTTGATTTAACTAGTTTCTTTTCTATGTTTATTTTTCTATTTCCATTTGTTGTACGATAAATTTTTCAAACATATTGATTGATTTGTAATAGTAAAGTTTGAAAATTTTCTATCTTGTAATTAACCAACGCGTTCAAAAATTTTATCGTATGACAAATAAAATATTAGTTCAAAGCGATAAATTTATGCATTTCATTTTAAATTGCCGTTGAAAAACTCAGGAAACTCATTCGCGTGTCGAATAATCTTAGGAAAATTCACCGCGTATATTGCATAAGAAAGAAAAGTATATTCGTTGGGAAGCGAGAAATCCATTGCGGAGATGCGAAAGGAAGATGACATCGATTTATCTCTCTCGTGTACCGCGAGAGGTAAGACCTTGGCTCCATTATCTCTCTACGTGCTTCAAGGCGTTATTTGTCCCGTATCCAAACTGCGTTAATTACGTGCGCACTCAAGGCGTTACGGCCTTAGTGGAAGGAAGTTCCTCCGTGAGCACGACTTGCTTCGTAGTATATTAAGAAGCATATTATCATGGAGATAATAGAGATAAGCGGAGGAAGTTCATCTCGAGAGCCTACTTCTTTCCTTGATCGTGGTTAAAAAAACAGAGATATCGAGTTCGAACAAAGCCTGCCGAGGCCGATACGGATCCACAAGTGGCGACGCAGACGCACACAAAGCCGGCGACACGTTATCGTTAGGTGGACAATGACCGGTCGAATATGTCCGCCTGTGTATCCCGAAAACCCACGCCAAGAAAGCGATGGGCTGGACGTTCGAGCCACCCGGTATCCCCGCCTAGTCGATGACCAATAACTAAGGCATTGCTTCTCAACCCTTTCTCGAGTGACGGAACACCGTGACTACAAGTCTTACGAACTGGCAGTAATAAAACGCTCGTATAGAATAACCCAGACCAATTTCGACCTTTCAGATTTTCCATAATTTTAGGGTAGAAGGAATTTTTTTCAAGATGATGTACATCGGATATCTTATCGGGACGAAATGAACGAAATCATCAGAAAATTCGAAACACCAATCTGCGTGTTAGGAAAAATGATTCTTGGAAAATTCAAGTTTCGTTCTTCTTCGTTCAAGCTTAAACGGATAATCCGATATCTGTTATTTTGCGACGCGGCAGGTGGTCTCGCGACGGCTACCTTTCTTTCTTTCTTTTTTTTTTTTTTTGATATATCCTTTCTCAAATTATATTTTAGTGTAATAATTACATGCCAAGGAACAAAAAATGTATACGCGTTATACCGAGAGAATATTGTGCGTGTCGGAGTTAATCAGCTCAGACGCGAAAAAAAAAGAAAAAAAAAAGAGAGAAAAAAAGAAATACGATCGTCCGTTCCCCCTCCCCCCCCCTCCCCGTCGTCGCGTCGTGCATCGTTCCACCGATACGCTCTTCTGTGACCGGCGTACTTTATGGCGTACCCCGTCGTCAATTCCGACACTCCGCCGCGACGAAGGATTACCATATAGGTGCACACGTGTGCAGGCGGCGAACGAACCTTGTTCGTCCTCCGCCTCGCCTCTCCGCCTTTCTTCCACGCCTACTCCTCGCCGCCTTCAACTCCTCTCTCGCTCGTCTCTCGACTCGCTCGGGTTTACATAAGTTCGGACTCTCTCTCTTCTCTTCTCTCTCTTCTCTCTCTCTCTCTCTCTCTCTCTCTCTCTCGAGGGGGACCAACCGCTAATTTCGTATCATCATTCCTTTCCTCCCTCGCAAATGTATAACATTACGCGGCGTGTTTTTTTACGACTGACGTCGCCTCCATCCATTTTTGTCACGTACTAGGAATTTCGGTAGTCTCGAGCCTCTCTTCACGACTCTCTGAGACTCTCATCTAGATACAGGTAGCTCCGCCGATCAGGTGCGCTTTAAATAAGGGATTTTCATGAAGAGATATTAAGAGAGTCCGAGAAAGAGAGGTAACATCTATCGTCGATTTGAAAGCGACGAGTTTTAGTGTCGTGATATATTTAAGTACTCCTCGACGAACGCACTTAGACGCTATCGTTTCTTTCCTCCGAGAAGAAAGGGATTATCCCGTGGGGTGTGGCAAGAG